TCCCTCATCAACCCGGTCGAGCCCCAGAGCCCGAGCCTCGCTGACGTAAACCCTCTTAACATTTCCCCTCTGCTGACTCATCAGTCGCACCAGACTCCGCTTCGCATTCGGCCGAAAATGGCATCCGACGCCACCACCCAGTCCGTCCACGAGATGAAGATACGCCTCAAGATCATGGCAGCAAGCCGCGTTAGCATCCGGTTTAAGAAAAGGCGAAACCTTGCTGTCCACCCTCAGCTCCTTCCCTACATGCTCGTACCCATCCCACCATCGCCATCCATCCCCAATTGAAGTCGGCACTTTCGTCACCAGATCATGCGCGTTCACAACGCGTAGAACTTTAATCCCCTTTTTCTCCACTCGTTCTGCAAAAGCTCGGTTTCCGACCCTCGGCCCGCCGAAAGAGAAAACAGCAGTCGGAGGCATTGATGTCTTCTGCGCACAAGACCCGAGCTCGTCGGCTGCTAGTATTGCCAGTGCGGCTCCCAAGCTGTGCCCTGTTACTGTTATGCTAAGCTCCTCATTTTTGTACAGCTCCACTAGTCTGCTGATTTCCTCGATTATTACGGAGGATAAGCTGGGCATGTTCTCGCCCGGGGTTGTGTACAGGCTACGGAAACCGCATTCTACTTTTGCCTGACCGGCATCGAGTGGGACGAGATTGAAGCGGAGGTTCTCGGCCCATTCGAGGATGGTTGAGGTGCCGCGGAGAGCGATGACAATGTCGCGACGGCCCATGCGGCGGATCTCGCGGTCGTTGTGGCAGACAGCGATGAAGCCAATGGAGGTAGTGCTGGGGGAGACCCAAGATGGGAGCTTTATGGAGGAGGTGGCGAAGAGGTGGCGAGTTATGCGGTATGAACGGTCGGGGAGGTGGGGGGTGGTGGAGTGGAAGAAGGCGTGGTAGGCGGAATGGATGAAATCTCCGTAGCGGAGGAGTTCGCGGCGGAGGTCGGTGTCAAGGGGGTCGACGAGGCAGGACCAGTCGGAGGAACCGTGGAGATCGCGCCATCGCGGGGCGATGTTGGTGCGGGGAGAGGGGTTTGTGGAGGAGTCGGAGAGGAGGTGTCGGAGATGGGAGAGACTGCGAGTGGAACCATTTTCGTCGGCGTTGGGTTGGGAGATTTGGAGAGGAGGGAGGCGGAGGGAGGGGAGGAGGCGGAGGCGTGGGTTTGGTTGTGATGGTTGAAGTTCGGGGTGGGGGTGTAGAAGTCGGTCGAGGTTGGAGAGGTGGGTTCGGGCGTCTGGTGGGGCGGGGGGAGAGATTAGTGGTTGCAGGGTCATTAGAGAAAGGGGGAAGAGGAATGGCAGGGGAGAATCGCCAATGTTGCCGCACGGGAGAATGGCAGGGGAAAATAGGTTGAGTTGACGTAAGACATGTTGGGGAGAAGGGGGCTGATATATCCTATATGGTTGGTGAAAGATGGGAGTTCTCGTGCATCTTCTTCCTAAAAATTTGGCATTCCATGGGAGGTCGGAAAGCTTGATTGTCAAGCTTTCCGATGGAAAAGGGGATTTGTTGGTCAGGTGTTTGGACTTTTCATGTAAGGAGAAAATTGCCGCCCTTTTACTTTTTTTTTTCTTTTTAAAAAAAGTATTTTTTAGCTCAGGACCATGCCTAGGGTAGGTCTGTCCTCTGTGTGAAGTATGAGGGAGTAATTATGAATTCATGGATGAAATGAAAATTGTGGGACGTGGGATTTATTTCAATCTCACTATATATATTTATCCCCATACTTAACCGATTTTGCGTATTTATGTAGCTAATGTGGATGCATTTATGCACGTTTAATTTATTCAAAATTTATTAGAAGTAAAATATGTGTAAATATTTTATACTAATCTTAGAGATTTGGATATATTATTATAAATGGAAATGATTGAGAGTCAATTTTACAATCACTCAAAATTTTAGATTATAAGCAACACATTTTTTTAACTAGTATTGAATTCAACTACCCAACTCATGGAATAATTTGAGAAATTTAATAGTCATAACTTGAAATATATGGCTACTATAATATATATGATTGCAAGACAATTTACGAGTTAAATTTTCATATTATTATATCCAATGATGAACTTGTGAGAACCAGCCCCATCCCCTCTAATTCCACAATTGATAGGACTTAATTATATATTACTTATTTAGCTTAATGTACCTATGTAAAATAAAATGAATTTGAGGATTTAGTTGAGGTTAGAAGATCTTACTAACATGACCTTTAAAATCTTAAGTCACAACCTAAACCTAAAACAAGCATTAGTTGCTTAATCGTATTATACATAACTCATTAGCGCTTTTACGAACCATAAAACCAAGTTAAATTTATGCTAATGAAATTAAACTAAGTAAACAAAATTATTTTTACCCAAGTCAGAATTAACCTAAATAGATTTTAGAAAGATTAGTTGACTAGCATAACATAAATGTAATGTAATTGGTTTATGTTAAACACAAACCCAAGGCCAATCAATTAAACATGAGTATTCAAACAAGCCTAATTAATCTTTATATCCATTATAAAATGAAAATTTATATCCAACATCTACTCCAAGATTGAACCAAAATTTTATATCCTTAGCTCATAAATCATGATTCATAAGAGTCCCAAGCCATGTCATGCCTTTGATTAGCCAATATTTCAAAGTCGTGGAGCATCAACTATAAATGAGCTTACTTTAAGCCAAGGGAATACAATTTTACCAATCATATAGATAAAGCATAGATTAGCCAATCATTTCTTGCTAGCTTTTTAAATTAGTTGATTTAGGATCAACAAAGGAAACATCTTGAAACCATAGTAGTTTTTTTTTTATTATTTGTAAATAATAGAAGCATATACTTCAACCCCTAGAATATTAAACTTTGATAATGTTATGTACCTCTCCATCTAGAAAATATTATTTAGTAAGAGAGAAGGCTTTACAAATGTTTTTTTTTCTTGAAAAATCCTGATATGCATATTTCTTTTAAAAGATTTAATTCTTACTTAAGGTGGAAAAAATCTTTTAGAGGTTAGATCAATTCCTTTTAAAGTCAAAGACCATCATTAAATCATATGGATGCATTATTTAGTTTTCTTATGTATGTATATATATGGTATAAATCAAAATATAAATTTTTTTGATAGCTAATCAATAGTTTATGTATTAAATCATTATATAATATATGGAATTTATTTGATTCTCATTTATGAGATAGTTACTTAAATCATAGCTTTAAATTTTGATGTTATTGTTTTGATCTATGTGATTATCAATTAACCTTATGTAACTCCATAAACTTTTATTAATTTATTAGATTAAATTTAAAGATATTAAATCTCACATTTTTATCTCTAATGTTGGATGATACACCAAAATATTATACTGTTTTAAGTACCTATTTTATGCTTATTTTAGGTGATATTGCACTTTAAAGAATAATATTTTTGTGTTTTTGTTGCAGGTATATCTTTTTAAGCATTTAGAGCAAAAATGACAAAAATGACAAAATTTGGAGCAAAAAGAGCTAATTTTGGATTCTGGCGCATCATGTGCCAAAATTCAGAGAGCTGGCGCATGATGCGCCAGATCGATGCATGATGTGCCAGAGATAACTTTTTCAAATTAAGGCTGTTTGAGATGAATTTTGTGCTAATTTTTAAAGGGACACTTGTTCTACACATCTCTTGGAGTAATTCAATGCATCTAGACACTTTGGAAGGTTCTTTTATGAGGGATATAACTCTTGGATCAAATAACACATCTTTTGAATTTGAAAAGAGTTGACTTTTGGAGGAATTTTTGGAGGGAATTTTGAATTCTTTTTCAAATAAGGCAGCCCAAAAATAAAAGAAAAAGACTTGAAGAGGCTAAGGGGACAAAATAGAGAAGCTTTTAGGGGTGGCGTGAGAGTTAGAGAGAGAGAAAAGGAGATTTTCTTCTAGATTTGTAAGAGGAGAGGGAATGTGAGAGATTTCTTCTTCATTACATTTCTAAGAGAGAATTGGGAGTGATTATAAAGAGAGAAATGATTGGAGAGAACTTCTAGGGATTTTCTTGAGAAGGAATGTGAGATAAGTTCTATTTTTATTTCTTTTATTTTGTAAATTTAGTTTTATATATGAAATTTGTGTTTTATCGTTTCCTTCTCATGAATTATGTTTAGTCTTCTTTATCTTTTTCCCTACTTTGAAGATATGATTTTGTGAATAATAGATTTTATTTTCTATGATTTAAAAGGATAAAATTTGTGATGGTTTAAACTCCAATCTTCATTTACTTTTCAATCTGACCAATTGAAATGTTAAAACTTGTTGAGATACATATGTTCTTAAACGAGATATGATTTTCACAACATAGGGAGAATCACATTTAATTTCATGGGAGAGTATGTCATCCATGGGATTGGGTGCAAATAAATATGGAAATAAAATAAATATGTGCAAATAAATAGGGAAATATACTTTTGTTGGATGCAGAATTGGAGATTTTAAGGTGACAGATTAAAACACCCAATTTGGTTCAGTTGATTGGAAATTGATATGAGATTGTTAGCCCTCAAGGGAGAGAGTAGTGGGAGCTCTGGAGTGGCAGCGGGTATCCTCCCAACCTAATCACGGAATTAGGGACCAAACTCTGAATTAGTCAATGTTCTTTATAGCACTCGGAAGAGGGTAAGGAATAAGATTGCTTCTATTTGACACAAAATAGTTTTTATATACATTTTCAAATGATTTCAATTTCTTCACAAACCATATACTCATTGTAAAGGGAAAAGATGTTTTCTTAAACTTTCTGTCAACTTTCTGTCAAAACAAAAACTTTGTTTAATTTTTGCAATTTTACTTTTGAAAGTTTAGTATTCAGTTTAGTTTAATTTCTGTAATCTTACATCTGCATTTTAATTGACATTCACTTGAGTAGATAATTTTCAAATTTTGCACTTTACTTTTTTTTGTTTTTATTATAAAATAATTTCTATGATTTACTTTAAGATTTTCCAGGTTGCCTCTGGGATCGATATCTAGGACTCCATTAGAGCCCTTTATTACTTGACGATACATATACTTGCGTTGATATTTAGAAGAGATTTGACAGTTTAAAAAAGAGTTTTAAAGGATAAGAGTTTTGTTAGGATTGTAATACATATTTATTATAAATCTTTCAGCATCGAGTTTTTGGCGCCGTTAAGTGGTGTCAACTTCATAAATATTTGCGTATACAAATCTTCGTGTCAAGTTTTTGGCACCGTTGCCGGGGAAGTAACGAAAAATATTAGTTTAATATTAGTTTTTTATGAAAAATATTAGTTTTTTATTTTATTTTATTTTAAAAATAAAAAAAGAGTGTGTTTGTAGTTTAATTTGAATATTTTCTTATTTTAATGTGTTTACTTATTTTTAATCACTTGCTTTATTCAGTTTATGTATAGTATAAGATCTGAAAACTTAATACCTTACGACTCTGAGTTAGAAAGAACTATTAGAAAAATTAGAAAACAACAAAAAGAGAAAGACCAGTTTAGCAAAATGGATTGCAATATAAATAATGTTAGAAATGAAAATGAAAACCATTAGAGACCTTTAAAAGATTATACAAATCCTATAGCAGATGAAATTCATTTGAGTATTCAAAATTCTGCTGTAGCTGCCAATTCATTTAAACTTAAACCTGTTATTATCCAAATGGTACAAAACTGTCAGTTTGGAGGAACACCTACTGAAGATCATAATTTACACCTTGCTAGTTTTTTAGAATTGTGTGCTACATTTAAATATGATGGAGTGTCAAATGATGTCGTCTTACTTAGAATTTTATTTTTTCACCATGGGATAAAACTAAGATGTGGTTAAATTCATTAGCACCTAGATCTATCACCTAGATCTATCAGAACTCTATCAGAACATGGGGAGTTTTATCACAAAAATTCTTATCTAAATATTTCCCACATTCATAAACTGCTAAGCTTAGAAATGATATCACTTCTTTTTGTCAGTTTGAAGAGAAATAAATTTATGAAGTTTGGGAAAGATTTAAAGATCTCCTTAGAAAGTTTCCACTAAATGCATTGCCAAATTAGTTAATAATTCAAACTTTGTATAACGGGTTGGTTGGATTTCTTAGATCGATAATTGACACTGCTGCTGGTGGATCATTAATGTCAAAGCCATTCGATGAAGCATATTCATTAACTGAAGAGATGGCTACTACTAATTTTCAATGGCCCTATGAAAGGGTAAATCCAAAAAGAGTAGCTAGTATACATGATTCTAATTCAATATCTATTTTAGCTGCTCAAAATAGCTGTTATATCAAAGAAGATAGATTTATATGGAATGAATTATTCTCAGACAATACATGTGCTTGAGGAGAACTCATTGGGGCAAATGATAGAATCTCAATCTTCTTGTGATTCTTAGAATCTTAATCTTCTTATGAGACTTTAAATGCATTAAACTATCATTCTAATAATCCTTATGCCAATTATTATAATCCTGGTTGGAAAAATCATCCAAGTTTAAGTTGGAGTAACAGTAATTCTACTGCTGTAAATCTGCAACGGGGAAATAACACTGCGAACCCATTGAGAAACTCGAACAATCAAGGGAACCAAGCTTATAAACCTTATTACCCCCCAAGTTTTAATAATTTGCAGAGTAAGGAGAAAAATTTATTAATGGAAGTATCAATGGAAGAAAAGTTATTAATAGAAGAATTG